AATTTATGTTTACATACATATCTCAGCTTCTACTAATTCAAATTAAATGAAATTTTAATATATTATAGATTGAGATTGTATCAAGATTATATGAAATTTTGAACTAATTCTGATTGGTGCAACTTGTGAGATATACGATGTTAAACTTAGTGTTCGGAAACTTTTGATAACCCTCTGTATTTATCAAAAAAAAAAAAAAAAAATTTTTATGCATTTTTTACATATGTATTTCGATAATGTTTTGAGGTGAAATTTTATTTTTATTTATTTTTTGTTTTTAAATTTATACCCTCATTATATTCGTTTGCACTTTCTTTAACCTGAACGAAGCTTGTCACCTCTACGTGGTGTTCAGGATAAACGGTTATAGTTTGGACTATATCTGGCCAAGCGCAAGCATTTACGTTCTTTTAAATGTGGTAATTGCATATAAATTTTTTGTAAAACTAAATAAAAAACATTTAAACTTTTAATAAAACAATATTATTTCTCGAAAGAATCATCAGATTGTATAACCTTATATTGATTGGGCAGTAAAATTCTTGACCAAATTTAACTAAGCACCATTTTTGTATGTATTTCTCTTTTTAAAGTAAAAATAAAAACGGTCGATAATAGTTTTGAGTTTAGCTTAATTGAGTATTTACGTTGTAAATGTTGTAGAGTGGCGTAGCAAAAAATTTGGCATAGTGACAATTCTTTAAATAATTTTCTTTATATAAGAGATTACTTTTTGACAATGATGTAAACAATATCGATTTACAAACGATTTTGCGCATAAAACATATCATATAACAGATAAGATTATCTTTGAATGCTTTTCCTTATTTTATGATCATTTACTTGTTTTCCTCCTTCTTCTTCACCTTAATTGGAAATATAAGCTATAGAACAAATGAGTAAAATAATCATAGTTCAAGACCGTAATATTATCTGCAATGCTCTATATGAAAGTTGATCAGAAGGTATTTCTGCTTCAAAGTAAAGTGCTGGCAATTTTTAAAAATTACTTAATAATAACTCCGAAAGGTTGTAACTCGAGTTTATCGTTCTAGATCAAACGACTAGTTGAAAAATTACGGTACAAATTTAAATGCATATTTATACCTCCTATGAAAATAAAAAATTCCGTTCTAAAAAAAACGCAAATAATTTCTGTATCAAACATATGAGCTTTGTATATTAATTTTTTTTGTATATGTTAATGTACGTTTTCTGATTGTTTTAATTTAGTAATTAATTCATATTGTCACCTTGAACGTAAAGGATATTGATATTTAGTTAACTGATAGTCAAAACGTGCTTTATAAAGTTTTGAATTATTTCACTTCTCAGATTTAGTGGCGAACATCTATCACTTTGATTATATCCATCATGCAACATCATGCCAAATAAAGAAGATTAAATGGAGGTCGTGTCTTTGAGAATCCAATATTTTCGAATGTTTACCAAAGGCTGTTTCTTCAAAATTATTCAATATTAAACGTAACACGTGTAATCCACAAAACGATTACATTTAGCTAATCGATTAAATTTCTCTACAGCACCTCCGATATGATCACTCATGTAATTTGTATTATCAGAAAGAAAGGTAAGACATTGTGCAGTATTAATATTGTATTTTGTACAAGTTTCTATAAGAGCCTGACTGATCGTATCAGAATCACAGCGTTGAAGATTTTTTGTTTCTAAAAGTATTACATCTGTCATATTCTTAGCAGAATTCCAAAACATGAAGCATTCTACTAATACGATTCCAAATGCAAATTTATTAGACTGATTTGCTTGCTGGAAAATATTTCTCACATGTAATTCTGATACTTCACGATGCCAACGGCTAATAGTTACTGCAGAAATCCAAGATTGTGTATTATCTCTTATTAAAAAATTAAAAACGGTTTTCATCATAGCAGTAAAGGACTTTTGGACAAGTTAATAAAATCCGAATTGTATTCTTTTTAATTTTGTTTAATAAGATTTCTAATCACAGCCTTCAAATCGTTGCCATAGTCGTTTGGCTGTTGCATGTATCTGTAATATATATTGGCGACGCTTGCATTTAAATTCATAATATAACCATTAAGTCTTAGAACTTTATATTTGCTCCATCTTTAAATCATTGATATTTTGTTTTAATTGTTTACAGATTTCCTGGTTTATAAAGAGAATTAGATATATAGTGAGAGGCTTTGTTTTGTATATAAGGTAATATAACTCGATCTTTAATTTTTCCATGCGGATATCTCATCATATGTATTAACTATTATATTATATATTTTAGATGATTCGGATTTATTAACATTTGATATATTAAAGAATTTTATCATATGGGAACATTTCAAGTCATGAGATATAGTAAAGCGTATGATCCATAATGTGATTTTACTTCCATATATCATTTGAAATTCTTGAACCGTAGTTTTTTTTAAATGGTCTGTTATTGATCCAGCTCGCGTTTTGGCAAGTGATTCAAGTGCGCCTTTTAATTGTAATTTACGTTTCGAAGGTTTAGGCATTGATGTTAAATTGATTCAGCATTAAAACTATCTTGTAAACTTAAAAATTTGATGTACAATATGTTTAAAAGGAATTATTCAAAGTTACGGTTTTAATATTTATTTACAAAAGTCAATTCATAACAAACGCTCTTTTTTTTAGTTAAAACATATATAATGATGATAAAAGAAAAATTCCCAATGTGATATGTGATATCATTTGCAATCACGATAATCTTTCTACCATTGGGGTAAAATGAGTAAAGATCCATGCAACCATACCAAATGAATTCGTTCTAGAAGCTCTCTCCAATTCTTGTAAATTATTATTCTCGTCGAGCACAAGTTCTTTGGCTTTCAAAACATCACTAAAACATTTAAGGATTGGGCTATGATAGAGATGCACGATTACATAGCTTGATGAAATAATTCAGGAAAATCGTAAGCGTAGGTGATACCCATTAAATGAGCCTTATAACGCCTTGGTTGAAGCCATTCTTTTTTGGGGTAAGATGTGTGGGTGGTTGCAAGACATTGAACCCTGTCGAACAATTGATTTAAGAATTCAGCTATCACGTTCTGTCTTAACCTCCTGATAAGTTTCTACTTAACAACATACCAGGAGACATTATTAATGATAATACGTAAAGGATAACTTATTGGATCTTCAACTTGAAATGAACTTCAGCTCCGGTAACACGCAATCTCCATAATCTTTTGCCATGCCTATCAATAAATCCTTTTAACAACTTCTCCTCAACTTGTTTATGTTATAACACAAATGGAATAAAATTTATAAATAAATAATTGCAGTCAGAATTTCTTATGTTCTGAACTAAAGATCTCAAGAGAATCCAAAATCTCATTCAATAATCCTGTCGGACTCCGAGATTAGATAATCCGCCGTATGCAAGCTATTTCGCAACTTATCAGGACGAATAAAGAATCTACATTCCGAAGTAATTTCTTTACCAACGGTATAATAAACGTGAATCTGTCAATAGTCGGTAAACCAAGGAGTTACTGTATATTGAAATTGGATAACCTCGTAAGATTAAGTTGATAGGCCGATATGACGAATTGTGTATAATTTGTTGTTTTCACGGAACGTAAAAATACCACCTTTACGAAATAGGACAATAATAATTCTTCGTATCTCATGTTCAAGTAATTCATAAGAATGTAGTTGTATAAGGGGTTTGAGTTGTTGTTTCAAAGCTTCATCCTCTATAGCATCATCTTCCAACCTTAAAGTGATGTTCAAAACATTATTTATATTGTTCTATCTGATGGATCATGAGATTTCCATCGTTGAACATTTTGTACTTTTGGAAAAAGTTTTAAAATTCGTGGTCTATTCAAGGTGCAGGAAATCATGGCAAGTGGTTCATCTCCTACAAGTGAATTACTTAGAGGTAGATATTTAAAAGAAACAGCAAGAATTTAATAAGTATGTTGATGAAATTATTAAAAAATCAGAAAATTTACCACGGTAAATATCGTAGAATATAATCCTCAGGTTATTTTCGTCCTGTTTTAGGCGTGTGACGATGTTTTAGAGTCGAAAATAAAAAATTTCTTGCTTGATAAATGGAATTTTTTTAATATAATGTGGTATTAATTTATTAAAATATTGTAATACCATATAATATTAAATTAAATATATTTTAATATTTAACATCTTAATAATTTTTAAATAAAATATAAATATTATTTTTATTAAAATAGGTATTAAACTTGTATTCGACAAGAATATAATAATTAATCTCTAATAATCTTTGATTCAATTAAAAATACAAAATTCTCGGTTTAAAGTAGAAAAAAATTCATCTAAAAAATTTGTTTTTAATAACGAAACAATTCGTGAAGATTAATTAAATTTAAAAATAAAATTTGTTAGGTTAGGAGATTTCATAAAATTAATTAGGAACAAGTCTAACTTATCTTAGTTATAGTATCAAAAGTTAACAATGATGACTATTGATAATGCAATTGTCCAACAAACAATATCCTGACAAGTTAAAAAATTTTGGTATCACGATATACTGTATGTAAAGTTATAAAATATTATAGCAAACAATCTCCGATAAATTTCCGATTAATCTTCAACCATGCTCGCTATCGTTGCCATCATCGCTGGTTCTTAGAATCGAAGTTTTTTGATGGGGTTACTGCAGTTTGCATGAGTGGACGGTATTAATGGTGCTACATTTGATGCCGAACCTAGCTTTAAATGTCATGACCCATTCCAAAACAATCTTCGAAATTTGATAATACACATAAGTATTATCCGATTAATCGTTTTTTTTTTCACGAATCCTTATTTGGTCTAAACTTTTTTTAAAAAATAATTAATCCATTTTTGAAATTCTCTCGAATATTTTTTGAATATTTGTTCTCAGATGAATTGAAATCATCTATATTTTATTTTTGATCCAAAACAAAATATTAAAAAGAAGCAATTCAAGAGACACAGAATCTATGCAATTCTTTTAATTTCTCCACAGACGATGTCCAAAACATTTCCTTATAAATCGTCCTCAATAAGCAACATAAATTATATTTTGAACAATATTAACAAAATTATGCGAACAATACGATGCCGTTAACTTTTATTGTTTATTTGAAGAACATGTCCTTTATATAATAAAGATACAATTTCGAAGATACTTGCTAATTATAAATCAGCATATTTCCAGGTGCAGAGTACCTTTTTAAATTCTAAATCCAAGTTAGTTATCTTAGGTAACAGACAATTCTTTAAAGTATTTCGGATTCTAGGAACAGAGACCAATTCATAAGTTGCTGCGGCTAGATCATATGAAAAATCATTAGATAACGGATATAATTCTTTAAATAAGTAATTGTAAATAAGTTTAATTACTGTATCTCTTATTAAAGTGCATGATTTTGCATTTAACTACATAACGAAATAATCTTAAAAAAACTTTTTTCATTATGAAGAATAAGTGAAACCAATAAATTATGTGGTAATACATAAACAAACGGTAATTTATTGGGTAACGTATAGGGGAAGCTTTTTTCACTTCTTTAGATCGATCGAAACCTTATTAATTTATTTAGCCGAAAAGATTCATTTTTTATTTATTATTATCACCAAACATGTACTTTGAAACAAGGGTAAAATTAAGATTCGAGGCCTCATCCCATTAATTCAATTAATGTCAAGAAGTATTTCATTTGTTTTATATTTATCTATCATGTTTGTTTGTAAATACCAACTACCTTTACCAAATAAATTATAATTTGAAGAAATGGAAAAAATGACTCGTAACGTAAAAACTGCGGGCACTAAAAATTTTTTGCTATTGTTATAAGAGGAAATTGTTTTTTTTAAAAGGTATACTATATTTATGTATTTATATTTAAAGGTTTAAGGAATTTTACGCATCATTTTTCCGCCAAATCGGTAACTGGAATATTTTAAACATAAAATAGATTTAGTAAATCAATGATTCGAAGAATTGGTCGATTATAAGAACCATTCAAAACAAGAACTTTTTTACGCGGGTTAAAAAAAGAAAAAAAAATCGTATGTATTTTTCATTAATTTACCTAGAGAAGAAATGATGTGTCTGCATCTTAACTTGAAAGGAAAGGATCTTTGTATAAACTCATTCTTTGCGAGATACATACAGTACATAATTATATATGAACAAAATGAGTATCGTTAGACCGAATCTCCGAGACGTGACATTAAAATGACTTTTCAATGCATTCAATGTCCGCTGACATAAATAGTTAGCTTTTGAGGCAAAACTAATTTTTGTGTTTCTTCGGCGCGAAATTTTTACCGTTTTTTTTTATTTTTTTATTTTTATTTTTTTTTTTGATCGAGGGATTTTCAGGGGCTTGTTTATTTGAAAATTTTCCACTTATTTTCTACTAAATAGATTATGGTATGTATGGTAAAAATAAAATGAGGGGACATTGAAAAAGTATTAAAAGTATTTAAACTAGATTAATAAAAAAATAAACAAATATAATTTAGTGAAACAAACAAACAAATATTCAAAATTAATTGTTTTGTTGTTAATTAAACAATTGAATTTTCATAAATACTCCACCATGAACTTTTGTTTTTAAATATCCCTCTCGCCTCATTTAGGCAAGATAAGAAATCCGATACTTTTTTTTTTTATTCTTTTTTTTTTTTTTAAAAAAAAAATATCCCTTCTTTCTTTAATCGTCTTGGGACACACTGACACTGCTTTTCTGTCTTTTTCATATTATGCAAATATTATCTATCATATTCATTGTAATATAATAACTTTTCATTCATCGCGAGAATTTTATTTTAAATATACAGTAATATAATTTTTATTAAGACTTTCTTTTATAATGTCACCAGAGTTAGACAATTTTTCAAGTATGAATGCGTCAACCACGAACATCGACACCACATCAAATGATGCTAACACACTTGAAAACTTTCATTTAACCGTTAACATTACTGCTTTAATATTCGGTCATATAGATTTAATAGCCTGTTCTCTTGTGGTATGTTATCAAATAATCCCTATGACAAAGAGTTTTCAAAAAAATGTGTCGATTCATGAAAGGTTCCGAAAGTTTTGTAATATTCGGAATTTTTCAACTTTTCTAGACATATTCCAGAAATAAGCGGTAAAATAATATAAAGTAACATGCCCTTTCTTTTGTTTTAGATTTATTCGGCATATGTGAGATGGCGTACAAGTTCTCTAGCAATATCAAGTCGCGTCCCTTTATATCTCAGTATTTCAGACGTATTGCAATGTAATTATAAATTATGATATCAAAATAAACCAAATATTCGTAAATTGGAAGCCTTTTAATCGATTACCCTTATTTTCTTTAGATTTGGTTTTCATGCCAAACTTTTTTTATTCGTTGATTTTCCATAAAGCCATTCCTGAAACGACTTGTAAAATACTAGCCTATCTGTTCTTTCTTCAAATAAATATCAATATGATTTTAATGGCTGGTATTGCATTTGTCACTTATTTGGTAAGCAAACGTGAATCTTTTTTTAAAAAAATAAATAAAAAGTACAAATGTTGTTTATTAATATCAAATTTTTTTTTTTCTGCGGGTTGGTATTAGAGTGTGTGTAGGAGTATGTCGATTGAATTGGGAAAATTTGATTGGTAAGAATTTACCCAATCTCTTGATTGATGAAGTATTTACGAATTAATACCCATATATTTTTCCCATATATTTTTTTTATAGGAAATTCATTACGTGTATTTTAGCATTATCGTTATCATTTTCAATTCTCTCAATCCCTTCTCTAGGTCCAGCAAAATATTGGTGCCTAACGTCAGCAACCACTGATAATCCATTAAATACATTGATAATCGGTGTAATTGTTACATTCGCCATAACTTTTATTACAACATGTTACAGTTATATTAAAACGTTATCAATGATATTTAATGTAGATCGAGAAGAAATATCGACTTCAATGGACAGAGTTAATAGACGGAACAAATTAGAAAGGCAGACTACGTTAAAAATCTTGATTTATATTTCAATCTATATAAAATGGATTCCTTTGATGTTATATGGTATATGCACTATGTCTGGTTATGATGAAGCTTTATGGATGCACATCTTTGCAATTACCGGTATGTATGCTTTAAATTGATAGCGTTAGAGCGAGAAATTTATCTAATTCCTTTTCAAAATTTCACATCAATTTTAGGATTTCATTTGGGAGGCATATATAATTGTATATTATATCTCATGAACGAAGGAATTCGTCGGTCAAATAAGGATTTAACATTGTGTGCGTTGGAAAATCGTAGCTTTAATCAATCGGATTATCAACCACCTCAACAATCGAAATCACAAGATCCAGAATCCATAAATATAATCGATTAAACCCATGTTTCATAGCGCCGTACCTGATTAATTTTGAAATTTATTCAACTCAATTTATGAACTTCGACCTCGAAATAGACTTGTAATTTTTTATTCAAAAAAAAAAAAAAAGATTTGTAATTATTCGATTTAATGATTTAATGAATGATTCATTTATTTTTCTTTATTTAGAAAGATAAATATTTCATGCTTTATAAAAAGATTTGTACAATTTTATTGTTATCATTTTATTATTCACTGCCCTTGTAATCTAGGACATATCATGTATATATAGGATCTTTAAGATTATTCTTAACCACTAAATATTAATAAAAAAAAGCATCAGATGATTAATTAATTAAATGATTAAGAATTTTATATAGCGAGTTTACACTTTTCAAGTCGAAAAATGCTACTAGATCGATTAATTCGCCATCTAACTATATAAATTATAATAACGCCGCAGAATTCCTGTTTGTAATTACCCAATTAAAATTATAAACCTGTATTAAATAAAAACAGTAATTTCTAATTTATTGCGAACTTTGATCGACAAGATAATGAAACTGCGCCATCATATCACGGGAGGTCAAAGTTTAAAAGATTGGCTAATCAAATTTTTTGCGATGAACAATTTTTTTTTTTTTGAAAAAAATTTTCTCATTTTTTTAAGTAAAAATTTTGTGTTTACCAAAAACATAAATTTATTCGTTCACAGTTCCTTGAAACTTTCAATAGTTCCTTTGGAACAGGTAGAGCAATTTTACGAGTTGTTTTCTTTTAAGCACGATATTTTTTTTTTTTTGATCCGCTTTTATTAATCTGATCAAAAAAAATTTTTTTCATAAAAAAAAAAAAAAAAAATTATATCATAGGTAAGTTGCGGTAAGTTTTTAAAGAAAGAAAAAGAAAAAAAAAACTTTTTCTTTCTTTATTTAGTGCCTGTTACAGGATTTATTTGGGGAGTATTTTTTTATTTTTTTTGAAAATATGTTGTGGCAAATCTGATCATGATTGCAGAATAAGGCAACCCTTTGTTTTGCGTCAAGTTCTTACACCACGAATTTGTCATGATGTATCATTTTACTTGTAATTACACACATTAATCTCTTTATAATTTGTTTCATTTTTTTAAAAATATATATATATAATACAAATAGTTCATCGTATATCGTTCAACTGAATCCCAGGTAATCACAGTACATTATTACTTTTTTTAATAATAAGAAAATCAACCGTTTCTAAATGACTAATATGAAAGTTTTTTTCAAATAAATTTAGGCTTGTATATATATTTTTTTTTAATTAGTCAGAATTTATGATGTCAATTAAAGCCGAAGGAAATCCTTGTCCTAATTGTTCGACGCGACTTAAATGTTACTTCATTAATTTGAACGAGAAGGTACTAATATGCCCCAAGAAAAAGGTACGTGATCCAACAAGAGTATCTATTCTAGTTAGTTTTTTCATTATTTTATTAATTGGTCATCCTCCCTTATTTAGTGTCTTTTTCCGTTCGATAAAGCAGATATTTCACCTTATGTTATAAAATCTGGTTCGCTGATAGGAAAAGAACGTATTGGCGAATCATCATCGCATATAAAATCTACTCAACCATTGGTTCGATCAAATAAGGAGGAATCTTTCAACCCACCAAATGAAGATGCTTCGAATTTTCCTGAAAATTCAATCTTCAACCAGAACAATTCTATTACTTTGAAGACTTTGGGAGTTACATTGAGAGATGATCCAACAAATAAAAATAAATTACAACCGAATTCATCACAAGGATTGTCCACGGACACTTCTTCAAATTCAGTCGAGAATGATTTAGAAATGTTATTTAATAAATTTCCAATGCCAACAACTGAAGGATCATTATCCGATGCTACAGCAGGGAATGGTTTGTTAAATATTAATACGACGGGTGAAGCTGGTAACGGAAATTCTTTAACTGTGGGGGAGTATACAAGAATGTTATTCGGGCAATCGGGCATTGATATGAATTTAGATATGTTTTCACTGAATTCCGATATAATGGGTATAAGCATACAAGGTAATAATGTAAATATGGAATTAGATGAACTTTTAGGAACATTCGATCCATTAGAATGAATTTCTACCAATAAAAATTTAGATACGTGACATGTATTTTTATTTATATTATTATATTATGCAAATTTAGCGTTCAATATAAACAAAAGTAACTTTTACAAGTAATTAATTAACTTGGGTTTATTTTCAATTTCATTCATGTAGCATATCAGTCACCTTCTGGATTTATTTCAATATGAATATATTGTATATAATGAATTTGTATCACTTTTTAAAATTATTAATATTTATAAACAATTCATATATATTTAAATTATAACTTTATATATTTAAAAATAAATAAAATTTTTATCAATTTATGTTTAAAGATTAATGTTTCAAAATTGCTTACAAATATATCTTGTAAATTTCATTTAGTGTTTTTATTTATAGCAGAATAAATATACATTTTTAACATATTAAATTATTGAATTTCTTAATGATTAATATAGTAAATTAACCAATTAGATTTGTATGAATAATAGCAGTGATGTGTATTTATACTTCTTATTGTATAAAATTTTGATTGGAAGCTTTTAAGCCAAATGATTTTATTAGAAAATTATGCTTTTAAAATTTCTAAAAGTACTTCAAATAGTGCTTTTAATCTTTCTAAAGTACATCACTACATATTAGTATATATATATACTTATTCAATCATCTAGTTTTTTGCTTTAGCTAAGAATAGAACTTGTGATTTATATAGAAAATTTCAACTTAATCAACAAACTAAAAACTTGAAACTCATTTTTATATTTTATACTTTTTGAATTTTATGATATTTGACAAATAAAAAATACTTAAGAAATATAGATCTTCAAATAACATAATATCATATATATTATTTTTATTATTTTTTTTTTATTCTGTTATAGCATGATAAAGTTATGGGCTTGCTATGTCAGTAAATTTAATAGGACGTAATATTACATAAACTTATATTCTATAATATTATGAAAATTTACAAGCTCATCATAAGATTACATGATTTGTATTTTTTAATATTACAATGTAATACTACGAAAGTATTATAGATATGTAACTATATGAAAGTTTATAATATAGTACTTCGTAACTAAGGTTGCTAGATGAAATCAAGAGTTTAGACAAACATCTAAATGGTAAAAGTAAAACTTGGTTAAATTATATTAAAACCTTATTAAAAAATTTGTGAAATTTAGAAAAAGGTAAAACTATATCAAAGCTTATAAAAATGGCAAATCTATATCAAACACTTAGTAAAAATTTAGTGAAACTAAAGGTTTAACCATTTTGCCAAATCCAAAATGAGTTTAGACAAGCAACCTTATTCGTAACATTACGGTATAATATTATATAAAACTTACAAAAATACTAAAATTTTGAAAGTTTATAGTATAATACTTTAAACATTATGATATAATATTATGTAAAACTTACAATAATAAAAGAATTTCGAAAGTTTATGCTGAAAGTTTATTTATAATATTTTATATCTTTCGATAAAATGTAATTTAAAACTTTCAATTATGTAATATTTCGTAAATTTACTGAATTTACTGAATTTAATATATTTAAATTTATTTATATACAAATTATGCTTCTATTTAAAACAATTTGAAAATGAATTACAAATAATATAAGTTAAAATATAAAAAGAAAATGTTATAAAAATGAGGTTACCATCATAGCAATAAAATTAAAAATTTGGTTAAATGTTGATAAGAACATTTCTAAAAAAAGATTGAAAATAAAGAAAATAAATGTTAAATATTTGAAGCTTCAAAAAATTTGCATGAAAGTAAAAAAAAATTAGTAGAATAGAAAAGTAAAAAAGAGATAGTTAGTAGAATATAAAAGTAAAAAGAGAAAAAGTTAGTAGATTAGAAATAGTAAAAAAGAAGAAGATAATTAGTAGATTAGAAAAATCAAAAGAGAGAAAATTAATAGAGAAGAAATAAGTAGAAAAAAAAAGTGAGACATTTAGTTGAGAAGCAGAAATAGTTACATTTGAAATTTAAATATGATGTAATATTCTATAAATTTATGATTTTTATAATATTTTAAAGTATTACGTTTGAAATTACGTGAATTTACGAGTTTATAAGATTTATGAAACATTAAGGTGAAATCCTATTTAGGGTTATAGATCGTATTTTTTATGTAATATTATGATCAAAATCCTTCATAAGATAATGTATTATAAGATTTATGAAACATTATTCAAATGTCCAATTTTCCAATCCTGCTTTAAACCCTATTTCTCATCACAATCCAAATCAATCACAAATTCTTTAATTGATGCTGTTGCAACTAATTTACAACCTTTTTCTATTATTAAAAATTCTGAATTTAAATTGTTTGTCAACAATTTGAATCCTCATTATATTTTACCATATAGTCAAACTTTGAAAGACAATTTTATAAAAATTATGATATAAGAAGAAAAAATAATTTAAGAGATGAAATTTCACAAATTAATTTAAAGATATCATTCATAATAGATATATAGACATCAGATCCAAAAGATTGTTATCTTGGAATAACAATGCATTATATCAATAATAATCTTTCTCAAATTCTTGAAGAATTTAATATTAGCCATAAAATTCTAGTATTAACAACAGATAATGAAGGCAATATAATAGCATATGGCAATCAATTAACAGCAGAATTAGATCAAGAATTTAATAATATGTCTTTTACTCATTTTCAATGTGCTGTTCATATTATTAACTTGGCAGTAAAAGCTGAAATAAAATATGTAAGAAATGAATTAAAAAGCTTCATCAATTTGTTATTAATATTACCGTTTAGCACTACCTAAAGTATCCCCTTTTAAGCGTATCTTTACTTTAAAAGTTTACTAAATAACAAAGAATTTTTTTCTATTTTAGAATCTGGGTATTATTTAATTTTAATTACGTGAGTTTTGAATAAGATCTGATATTTTACATAAAGTTTTTAGTTTTAAAATTTAAATCGCAAAATTTAATAAATTAATAAATTAATCAATTTTATAATAAATAATATATTCTTGAGTAATATTTCTAT